GGGGAGGGAATGGAGGGAAAGCCATGGGGGAGGGGGAATTCCATCAAAATAAAAGATCCCGGGAGTAGAAGGGGCTGGAGGGGCGAGTAGGGATGGGACAGGGAAAACAGTGCAGTGAATGTGACCGAACTTTCCAGTGTGCGTACATGACCACACCACAGTGAGTCTCTATGTTCATCCACAAGACACTGATTTAAAAAAAATAAAAATAGTAAATGAATGGGAAGCTCAGTAGAGGAAAAGGAAAAGGGAGGCAGGGTACTAGGGACTGAACAGGAGCAAATTGTGCCCCATGCTTTTATAATCATGTCAAAATGAACCCTAATGTTCTGTATAACTGTTATGAACGAATAAAAAACTAAAAAATAAAACAACTTCCTCCTCCAAATTGTCCTCCTCAGGTGTTTCAGTCACAGTGACAACACACCGAGGCCCGCGGTCACAAGGAAGGGATCTGCCAGCAGCCTGAGGGGCTGGGCAGGTCCCCCAGCCCTGGACTCCAGCTCGCCAGGCCAGGCCCCTGACCCCGGAGGTAAGGGACCTGGGTCGGGGACCCTCGGGTTTGTGGCAACGCCCTGCAGAGGAGAAAACTCAGCGGCCTTCACACCCCTCTCTGGGTCCCAGGTGACAGGCGTCCCCACGCCCCTGCTGCCCCAGCTCCTGCCCACAGAAGCTCCGAGCGCGGCCGCCCGCCTTGCCCACGCGTGAGGTTCTGTGCAGCCCTGGGAACGGGTCAGGGGCTCCCAGCCCTTTCCCAGAGGAACCACCGTGTCCTCTGAACTCACCAAGCCACGGTCCCTTCGGCCACAGTAAGAACGGTGACACAAAACAAGACAAGTAGTGACATCACGAAAGGGTACCACAGTGAACCCCGAGTGAAAACCTGCACCCATGTCCACCAGGCGACAGGTCTGCGGGAGGAAAACCCATGCTGTCACAGTACCCAAGATACAGACGCAACACAGGCAGCCATCAGTGGACAAACACACACACGTGAACACGCGCTGACACGCGGGCACACACTGGGATGTTACTCAGCGTTCAAGGAGGAGGAAATTCTGCCATTTGCCACAGCAAGGATGGACCCAGAGCACATTCGGCTAAGCCAGATGCAGGGGGAAAAATACTGCATGATCTCACTTAAATGTAGAACCTCACGAAGAAGAAAAAAACAAGGTCGATTATACAGAGACAGAAAACAAAACAGGGGTTCACAGTGGTTCTCGGCTCAGTGAGGGGAGAAGGAAATGAGGAGGTGGAAGTCCACAGATACACAGTAGTGGATAGGCAGGGTGAAGAAGTCAGAAGATCCAACACAGAGGACCACGCTTAAGGCTCACTGTGCCTGGGAGTTTGGCTAAACCCACAGAGTTTACCTGCTCTTGCCATAAAAGGAGGAAAAAATGAGTGACTACATGAGACGATGGATATGTTCATTTGTTCCACTGTAAGTGACCACTCAGATACCTACAGACAGATCTAGATGTGTCTCTTACGACATCTTGCCATATACCTTAATTACATGCAATATATTCAGAAACTCCCTCACAGAGTTCTCACTTGGCAAATATAAAAATCTTGCTCCTTTCTTAAAAAAACAAAACAAAACAAAAAAAACTCTGTTGGAGTTTTGCTGCAGTAAGACGCCATGTCACTCCTATCAGGATGGTTATTATTGCCAATCCCCAAACACCAAAGGCTGAATGTTCTCTCTGATAAGTGGATTCTGATCTATCATGGGGGAGTGGGATGGGTGTGGGAAAAATGGAGGGATTCTGGGCAGAGGGAGGGCAGGGGACAGGGCGTGGGGGCAGGAAAGACGGTGGAGTGGGATGGACGTCATCACCCTAGGTCCGCCTATGATTGCACACGGGGTGAGACGCGACCTGGTGCGCGACCAGAGAAATGAAGAGTGGAGCTACGACTGTGCACGATGGATCAAGATGAGTTCTGCTGTCTATCGGCCTAATTAGAATAAATAAATAAATTTCAAAAATAAAGCAGTAAGAGCTTAGGGGGAAAAAAGATGCTATTATCAAAACCAACCAACCAACAAATACCCAGAAAACACCTAATGTTGGAGAAATCAGGACCCTTGTGCATTGCTGGAAAATGGGGGCTTTAGCTGCTATAGAAAGTGGTACGTAGAATCCAAAAATATTACCAGGTTTTCCATGTGATTCCTCGATTCCCTTTCTGAGTGTCCGATACCCCAAAGAATGGAAAGCGGGGACTCCACAGACATGGGTACCACCGTGTTCACAGCAGCGGGACCCCCTGCAGCCAAAGGGTAGGAACACCCAGGTGTCCAGCAACGGGGGAAGAAATTTTTAAAATGTGGCCTGTCCCTGCTACTGAATACTATTCAGCCTTGAAAAAGGAATGGAATACGATGCACAGGGCCACATGAAGGAACCTGGAGGACTCCGCCAAGTGAAGGAACAAAGAACAAAGGGCGACACATGCTTCCATTTCTAGGTGGAACCTCGAGCCATCAAGTTCACGGACAGAAGGAGTGGGGTCGCCCAGAGCCTGGGTCCAGGGACCAGGGGACGGGAGGCTGAGGAGGAGAGAGCTGCAGTTGGGCGAGATGGAACAGTTCCAGAGCCAGGTGGTGGGGGTCGGAGGGTGAAGGTTGGGAGGGCTACTCACCACCTAGGCTTTGTTGGCATCGGTACCGCGGGCATCTTGAAAGGAAGCTTTCAGCCCTGCCAGGGTGCCTGCCCCACAGGGCGCCGTGTGAAGTGGAGGTGCGAGGGCCACTCTTATGCACCTGTGCTGCTGGCCAGCCGTCCTGCAAGAAGCCAGCATGAGGTCTGCGATAACAACGTGCATTGACGCATATTTATAAACAGCAGCGGGCACCGCAAACAGAAGAAGCAAAGACCAGCATCTTCCCCCTGGGAAAAGCAGCCTCCCTGGACACAGAGGGCCCAGGGGCGAATGTAAAAATCCTCACCTCTGTTTTCCCGCCCTGAGCACCGCTGAGCTGCACCCAGCCCCCAGAGGCTGAGAGTGAAGCCGTCCAAAGACAAGGAAATGTCCACCCCGGAGGCCCACCCAAGCCTGCTGACCCCATCTGATCAGGACTCTGAGCACCTCTGCAGTTCAGCCCGAGGGTTCAGTCCTGAGATTCTAAGGACACATGATTCTTTCTAGGGAGTCACATTATTAGGGGCAATAATTGCTTTTTTCTGGATCATTCTCAAAGACCCAGAAAAGCTGTGACAATGTTTCACCCATCCTTGGGCCCTCTTTCCCCAATGCCAACATCCTCAAGTAAACGGAGCTCATCTTACCCTCCTTTTGAATATGCGATGGCACTGTTCACTTCCTGGAAGTCTCTCACAATGTCTAGTTCAAGTCTCTCAGGCTATTGCCCTGAAAGAAAAAAGAAAGAAAGAAAGGGTTTGCCTCTACAAATCAGTAACCCCTGCCCAACAGAAAAGAAATGTGATCCGTCTTCTTCCCCTCTCCCCAGAACCAGAGAGCATGTTCCCTTGCACACCATCGAAAGATCTTAGCAAATATCGTCCGTCCAGAGCTGTGATAGTCAGCAGCTCCAGACGACACCACCAGCAGGATATGTGTGTGTGGGCACAGTCACGGACCACATGATGACCTTCCGGCCAACGTTGGACCACATACACAACAGTGGTCCCATGAGATTGTACCACTGCATTTCTCCCAATGGATCTCCAGTGCTAATTAAGTGATGCCTTAATTCATGGTTCTTTATAAGGAATCACAATAGTGATGACAGAGTGAAAGTGTAAATTAACCATCGTGAGCAGATGGGGTAGGGGTCACCAGTGACCCAAAGCAATGTAACAGAGATTCAGCTTCCTTAGAAGTGGACCTAACAAGAATCTCTGCCTCGGGCTCAGAAAACCAAAAGGTGTCCCATGTTACGCGGCCAGGGCTGACCTGAGTTAGCAGCCCCCCAGCACAGCTCCCAACAGGAAGCCCTTTCTGACCAGCCCACCCTAGCAGCATACGATTCCCTTGGTCTTTTTAGTTATTCTAAAAATATAAGGTGATTTTTGTTAGGTCTAAAAGCCCCAAAGCAATAAAACGAACACAATTTTTTTATCATCAAAAAAGTTAGAAGATATAAAAATTAAATTTTTCATACAGCACCAGCGAAAGTCAGTTTAGACAAATGAGAGATTTGAGAAAATACTTGCAATGCGAAGAATAGAAGTTCGATGTTTTAAATATGCCAACAAACTGTTACAAGTCAGGGAGATATTTTTTATTTTAAATTGCAATAAGGACATGAACCACCAAATCCCAGGAGAGCAGATACGGAGGTCAATAAACACCCAAAACACAGATGTTCAGATTTAGGGCTCTGCAGATTGGCCTAGCAGTGACATCATTCTTCATCCATCAGATTGGCAAGAAATTTAAGTGGCCAGCATCAGCCCAGAAGATGTGGGGGAGACAGAGATTCTGGCTGTCAGGCAGGTGAAAGGGGAAACAGTTCCGACTTCCGTTGTTTGATCGACACCCTCTCTCCCGGAAGTGCACCTCAGGAAAACCAAAACCCTGGTACCTGAGCCTGCATAGGTGCCCGTCACACGATCGCTCGCTGGGACAGGTCACTAGGTTTAATAAAGAGATGCCCGTCAAAAGGCAAATGCGTGGCGTCCCACCACCACCACAGACAGCCACCGGAGAGAATGGCCATTGAAGAGAGGGGCCAAGGATGACCACTGCAGGGTCGGTCCCCCGTCACCACAGCAGGCTGGGACAGTGGCTCAATGGGTCGCAGAGCTTCTCCACTCTGCGGTTCTCTGCAGCATTTCCCTGGAAAAGGGTGGGTCTGAATGCTGGGAAGGAAAGGGAGCCCCTAAAATATTGAATGCAAACGCAACAGGGATGCATTCAGCGTGATCACACTTGTATTGGAAGAAAAAAAAAAAAAACCTCAATCTATGGATGTTCTGCAAAATGGCTATAGATGGAAAGGGCCTCTGGGGAGGGGTGGGCTGGTGAGGAGGGCCCTCCGCGTCTATATCGTGCAAATTTATACAATACAAATGTGTGCACGTTTTCCCTGGATGATTCTTTATTTTTTTTTTTGCATTAAGAACAATTTTTGTATTTGTTCTAATTAGTTACCCATGACATGGAATGCACTTGACACATCATACATAAAGGAAGATAACTTCTCATTCCTCTGGTTGTACATGACGTAGAATCTCAACATTGGTGGAGTCCTACGCACACACAGGGTAATGATGTCCGACTCATCCCTCTATTCTTCCTGCCTCCACACTCCTCCCCTCCCTTCACGCCCCTCTACCCAATCTAAAGTAACTCTGTTCTTTTCTTGCACCCCCCTTATTGTGAGTCAGCATCCACATGTCAGAGAAAACATTTGGTCTTTGGTTTTGGGGGGATTGGCTTATTTTGCAGAGCATGATATTCTCCAGCTCCATCCATCTATCAGCAAATGCCAGAGTTTCATTCTTACTTTAAGACTAAGTAGTATTCTACTGTGTGTGTGTGCCACACTTTCTCTATCCATTCATCTGTTGAAGGGCATCTAGGTGGGGTCCATAGTTTAGCTATTGTGACTTGAGCTGCTGTAAACATTGACGTGGCCGCATCAGTCACTCTAGTATGCTGGTTTCAAGTCCTTTGGGTATAAACCGAGGAGTGGGATAGCTGGGTCAAAGGGTGGTTCCATTTCTAGTTCTCTGAGGAACTGGGAAGATTCTCAGTATCCAAACTATGGGAGCCCCTGATGCAGCCTCTGAAGCAAAGGTCTCGCATGCTCAGTAGGAACATATCTTCCTGGTAGCATTTGAAATGGAGTGAAAAAGCAGAATAAAAAATGTGGTGGGCTGAAAACTGTCCATTCCTGAAGACAGCAAGAGTGGACATGGGCAAGTCCTTACCCTTAGAGGGGGTGCAAGTCCTTCTTATTTTTACAGTTGTTGCTAGGATACTTTTTGTGCAGTTGCAAACACTGATATCAAAGTGGTTTAAAGATACTTACACCTCTGACTTCTCCAGGGACATACACAAATCACTTCCTGAACACTCAACATCAAGTCAAGGACTGGCCCTGAGATGAGACTTTAATGATCCCATAGACAAAAAAAAGAAAAAAGTCATGGTCAGGGATGGGAAGAGGGAGTTAGGGCCTGAACAGGTCGTCCAAACATAGTAGAAAGGCTTTGAGTCCAGTGGGTATGAAGAACAGGACGGCAGTGATGATGTCCAGGATTCATGCATCACTGTGTCAGGCAGGATAAGCCAGGTTCTGCTGCAGTAACAACAAACCCATAAGCTCAATTGAAAAATGGCCAAGGTTTATTTCCTGCCCATGCTACTACTGTTCCCTGCAAGGTGACACGCAAGGAAGGGTAGGAGGTGACTTTGCCTATTACTTAAACACCTAACCAAGAAAAGCAGCCACCAGTTCAAAAGTTGCTGATCACTATGTCAGAAAGAAGAGGAGCTCAGGGGAGTCAGTCCTGCAGCTAAATAATCTGGAATAGAAAAGCGACACCCATAATTTCTACAAATAATTTTTTTGGCCAGGGTCAATAGTTCCCTGCCCCTCCCTTCAAGTGGGGCTGGAAATGTAATCCTATCCTGCTTCTGAAAAGCAGGAGATGGAAACATTTAGTAAACTCCACTAGTAAGTACCAGAAACACTGGTTCAGGTGCTCTCCAAATACGCGATATCAGTCACGCTGTTTAATTCTGTGTTCAGGGTGCGGCCACCCAGCTGGGACCTGTCACTTGTCCTGACCTCTCCTCCCTCCATGAAACTATGCTCCCTGAATCACAAAAAGAGATTAGAGCCCCTCCCTCAACCCCCACCCAAGGCACTACACCCCCCATGGAGAACTAATCCCCAGCTCCCCCCCTCTGTCCAGAGGACCCCAGGGCAGGCAGGAGAGGGGTCCCTGTACTCGGACGCCAGGTTTGTTCCTCTTAGGTGACAACCAAGTCTGGGATGAAATCAGGTCTCCCTCCACCTCCCTTAACCCCCCAACTCTGCCCACATGATCTTGGGGGGCTGAGATGGTTCACTATGGATGTGGCGATATTTGGCCACTTGCTCACTTGTCAAGTGTAAAGTACCCACGGCTTACCCGTTGCCTCAACCACGGTGTACAGACCTCGAACTCAGCGGTTTAATGACTCTTTGTTGCTGCTCACAAGGCCACAGGTCAAACGGGCCAGTCCTCTGATCTGCGTCCGGCGGGGTGGGGTCCTCCAGGCACCTAGAGCCAGCTACGCCCCAGCTGATGGCTTTGCGGATCCTCCGGGGCTCCCCCCGGACCTCAGCCAGAGCAGTCTGCCGGCTCCTC